AGAAAAGAGAAATAAAAGAGCTATAGTTTTGATGAACTGCTAGGAACAATCAGTCATTGCTGATACTTGCATTAACAATAGTGAAGATAGCAACTGTTTTATGGTTTCAAGTATAAATAGAAAGTATACTTATATTCCTTCTCACACCAAAAGACAATAATTAGGGGGCAGGGCACAGCAGGGAACAATTGGTCAGAGGGAAATCTGTACCAAAGGCCATGGCTATGAGAGGGAACTATGAGCTTTCTCTCTAACTCATGTTTGAAACTCTTTTTTTAAAAGTGAAAATAAGCATATAACTTGATAGCCAATGAGTCCTAATAATTTGATGAGAATTCCACAAAGAAAATAAAACAACATGCACAGGAAAACACTGTTGGTCCTGTTCCATTTTAAGAAGCTAGGCAAGTTAAACTCAATGTATGCACAAGGAAGGCATAAAGGGATCTATCTACCAATCCCCACAAGGCTTCTAGCAATCAGCAGTGCATATGTGGTGGAAGATAGGAATTAAGTCTCTTCCTTACATGGTTTGCACACATCTTTTATACACCGAACCTTTCCTACAGCTTGTGCTATGTAGCCACAAAGTTTAAGTGAGTTCCTCCAGCCAGCGGAAGGCCTTAGCCCTACTTTTTAAGTATTAAGTTTAAAAAAAAAAAAAAACCAACAAGCAAAAAATTACTTGTACACATGCATCCTGATGGCGATGACAAATGGTCAGGAAAGACTGTGGATCACTGGACAGAGGTGTAGATATCAGATTATACAGGCTATATTCCTACATTGTATGGCAGTCAAAATCCTGGGCAACCTGGCATAGTGGTTGCCTAGCCTTTTGCTAGTGAGACAAACTGATGCCATCCAAAGCAAGTGGTCAGGATATGCTAATGTCGTTCTGCTCCTTCTACTGTAATTTAGGAGGTCACCTGAGAAAGAGGGGTTTTTCAGTCTACATGACAAAATGGGCATAGATAGGAAGATGTGACCTAAGTCATCCCCCCTTCACCTAGGAAACAGAATGCTAATGAACTTCCCCCTCAGTTTACATTTTGATATAAAAGCTGTTTGGAGAATAAACATGGGTGGTTTTTCAGGATATGAATTCAGGATTTCATGAAGGATCCCTGAAAACTCCCTCCCGATACAGTCATGTGAGTTGTGTTTTCATTCCCACACCTCCACTCTGGTACCAGAAATGGTGCTTGTCGAGGCTGTTCCCGTACACGGAGAGAGGGATGAAGGGAGGCTCCATGACTAGAACAGGACAATCAAGCTTAACCATTATTCAGAGCAGTCCTGAAAATTCAGTGAAAGTTTATGTTGTGGTTTGAAAGAAAATAGCCCCCAAAGAGACTGGCACTATTAGGAGGAATGGCCTTGTTGGAGGAAGTGTGTTACTCTGGGGGTGGGCTTTGAGGTCTCCTTTGCTCAAGCTTCCTTTAATTGACTTCCTATTGCCTGCAAGATATAGGACTTTCAGCTATTCCTCCAGCACCACATCTGCCTGCATGCCACCATGCTCCCCACCATGACGATAATGTACTGAACCTCTGAATCTGTAAGATCTCTCAACTAAATATTTTCCTTAAAAGAGCTGCTGCGGTCATGGTATCTCTTCATAGCAACAAAAACGCTAAGACAAAAGTTGGACAGGGGTATTGCTGTGATAGGCCTGACATTGTTCTCCTTTGGAGTAATATGGACTGGTTCTTTGGATTAGGAAAGCAATTGTGATTTAGGGGACTCTCTAAAGAGGTTTCAGAGGAGAAGAGTTTTAGTATGTGGCCTAGAGATCATTCTTGTGATGCTTTGGTGAAGAAAGTGGCTGCCTTCGTCCTTGTCCAAAGAGTCTGCCTGAGGCTACAGAGAAGAGTTCTGATTAATACTGTTGGTAGAAGTAAAGACTATGTCGTGTGGTTTTTAGGGTAACTCTAATGAAGATTTATAATGAAAAGGAGCAAGTTGAGCAGGTCAAATTACAAAATGTAAACTTTAAGGAGAAAATGAGCATAAGGAAGTGGAATAGAGTTAAATCCTGCCTTCAACAAGATAAATAGATTAAGAAGTGGAATAAAGAGAGTGGGAACTTCATGGCAAGATCCCACCCAGCTAAATTTCCAACTTGTGAAAATAAATTAAAGAAAAGCTTAGAGCTGGTGTGTGGTGGTGCATATAAGTGCTTTAATTCCAGCACTGTAAGGCAGAGGCTGGGGATCTGGGTCTGGTGCTAGCCTGAGCTGCAGAGCAAGGTTCAGGACAGCCACGACTGAAAAGTGTTGAAGGTGTCCACGTTCCAGTCCCAGTAAGCAGCAGAACTTGGCAGCTTTGGCCACATGGTTTTGGAGTCAGGAATAAAGCTGCTGAGGCCAGGCATGTGTTAGGGGAGTTCCTGACTGGAGGTCACTGCATGCAGCTATGAAGTTGAAGCCTGTATTGTCTTGGAGAACCCAAGAGGTTAGATATGCCAGAGTTGTAGGATACCTGCTGAGGGGAGCTGCTAACAGGAAGTGGAACCAGTCCAGAGAAAGAAGTGTGTTATAGTCAACAAAGCTGAACAGAGCCGGAGATCTGAAGAACATTTTGACATGAAACATGGAGGTGCGGAGTTTGAAATTTGCCCAGCACTTTCCAATTTTGCTTTGGTTCAGTATTTCCTCAATATGTTCCTTCTCTATGCTTTCAAATGTGCTATTAAATGTTGGAAGCATGTGATCTGCTTTTTAACTTGATTTTTTACAGGAGGATTACAGTTAAGAGATCACCATGTGTCTGAGAAGAGACTTTGTTCTTTGAAGCAAGTTTGAAACTGTTTTAGACTATGAACATTCTTGTTCTTGGACTGAATGCATTTTTTTGCATTATGATAGTACTTATAAGACTTTGGGGGTAGGGAAAAAAACCTAACTAAGACAGTTTATTTCTCGAATTTTGTATTTACTATAAAAATAACCATTTATCATGGTTGATGTAGGTAAAAAAAAAAAAAAACAAGAAAAAACAAACAAACAACAAAACAAAAAAAACCAGCAAGACATAATGTGAGTAGGAGAAACTACTGTGCTCCACGACATGGTCAACACAATAACTACAGGTTTGAGGAAACCACATTCTGAACCATCTCTAAGCACATGACACACTGATGCACATACATGGCTTCAGAGCTCTGAGAGACTACATGTCCTCTGTAACCCTGGCTCTCTAGCACTAAGGTACACAAACAACTAACTGCAAGTTTATAGTTTGCAATGACATAAAAAAAAAAACCATTTTGGAGGTTTTCAGCAAAATTAGCCAACATTTGAAATGATCCAATTTAACATAGCCTATGAGCTGTTTCAAGCATAAAAGCAGTGATACGGTCTGCATGTTGGCGCAGGGGAGGAGGGCCTTTTTAAGTTAAGATGCCAAAAACCAGAAAACTAGTCTTGAATGAGAACTTCAAATAAAACAAACAGGTCTCCTCAAAGCAAAAGCTAGCACCCCAGAGAGCAGAGGGGACAAAGGGAGGGCAGGAAGGAAAGGGTCAGATTCTTCCAAATCTAGGCTGATGAAGTAACCTGGAAGGTAAGGGCCCTTGCCATACTTCAGGATACCACATAGAAAACTGGTTCTCTGGTCACTGTGTAGAGGAAAATGTTTAGAAGGTGCCAGTAACTGACGGTAAATGACGGCTGGTGGGGGCGGGGGCTCCTTTCTCTTCAGAAATGGAGCTACTGGTAAGCTTTCCCTGTTCCAACAAATAACCCTATACCCATTCACCAAGACTAACCATGATTAAACCCATGCTTAATATGGTACCACACGTCTTCAATCCCAGAACTCAGGAGGCAGAAGTAGAGAAAGGCCGAGCATTAATTAAGTCTAAGGTATCGAATATCAAATTTTTATCTACCATCAAATTTTCACAAGTCACCAAACTCTGCTAAAGGTCAGAGAGTCCTGGTACAGGTACATTCAGCAGTGTAGTTGTGTAGTCATTATTACATGACGCCGAGATTTATAATCCAAAATGAAAGACTTCTAAACTTTTCTAAAGAGGTAAAAATGTTTCTCCCTAAAGTTATCAACTAAATAAACATGTAAATCTTATATATTTAACTGCATACTTAGTAATATCAGGATAAGTAAAATGCCCTAAAACTCACCAAAATGACAGACACAAATAAAAGAACTGTTATCAGCAATATCAAATTTTTAGACCCCCCCCAAAAAAAGCTAGTAACAAAATGTAGGTAATTTCATAAAAGATCATATTCATGTCACCTTTTCATAATGATGTGGTGGTACATCATGATAAATGATGAGAATGTTCCTCAAGAGCTCATACATTTAGTTGCTGAAACAGTTGGGAAGAACTAGAAGGTGTGGCCCTGTTGTATTACTGGGAGTCGACTTTGAGGTTTCAAAAGCCCACATCATAACCAGTTAGTTCTCTCTGCCTTGCGGTTGTTGTTTTTTTTTTAATATTTATTTATTTATTATGTATACAATATTCTGTCTGTATGTCTGCAGGCCAGAAGAGGGCACCAGACCTCATTACAGATGGTTGTGAGCCACCATGTGGTTGCCGGGAATTGAACTCAGGACCTTTGGAAGAGCAAGCAATGCTCTTAACCACTGAGCCATCTCTCCAGCCCCTGCCTTGCGGTTGTTGATTCAACATGTAAGCTCTTGGCCACTGTTCCATGCTTGCCTGCCTGTTGCTGTGCTCCCTGCCTTGACAGTCATGGACTCTAAACCTGTGAAAGTATAAGACTCCATAAATGTCTTCTTTTTGATAATTTGTCTTGGTCATGGTATCTCAAGACAGCAATAAAAAGGTAACACACTTGATAACCATCAAAATTATAGAAAAATTATAATAATCAAAGTAGGGGTACCTTTTGCTAAAATGCTAAACTCTTCTGAGATTCTTGAGAAATTTTTATTTCTCAAAAGTCTCTTCAAAACAGCTACAAATCTCTGACCTGGGAGAGAAGGAAATGGAAGCATCTTACCATTGGCAGTGCATTGATGTGAGAATGTACAACTGGATATCTGACCACCAAACACAAGTTGCTGAGGCTAAGAAAAAGGAAAACAAATTCAATTTAAGATTCCCCACAGCAAATCTTGAATGTTCAAAATACTCACTTATAGGCTTTTGCATCCCAGCAGTGAGGCTGTGTAACAAATCCTAGCTGCCTACGTTCCTGGAGGCTAGTACAGTTAGCATCCACGGAAGGTCGTGCATAACCCCTATTCAGCTCAATCCCAGTGTACAACTGAATTAGGGTGCTACGGTGTGTTCATCAATCATGACCATGAGCCATGAAAATCATGTGAATTTGCATTCTATATATTTTCATTCATGGGAAACATATTTAACTGGTTATCACAACGTGGCAGGCATTAATATCAGACTTCACACAAAAGGGCTCTACCTCTCTACTTTTCTCAATGAGTGAAGCACAGCACATCACATCGACAGAACTTCTGCAACATGCAAGTTATATTTCATATGCCACATCTAAGAGGTGACACTCAGAAAGGACATGGATCAGTGCAAAGTGGATTAGCAGCCTGATGCCACCAAGAGGAGGGGTAGCTACAGTGGCATGCTTACATTCCTATAGCAGAAATTCTAATTTAAGCATGTCAATAATTAAGATCACCAATATACTGAATAACCATAAAATTCAAGTCCCTTTGGAATTGTTCCTCTGGTTTTACTTCTCACTGAGCACCTAGGTATCCTGGCACATGACCACATTTAGTAGAGACCCAGAAATTCAAGTTAACATTAGACATCACATATTTATAGAAGGTCATGTCAACATACATCACTCCACTGGCCTATAGCAATGCTATAAAAACAAGCCTAGAATTTTTCTCTCATTTTTTAATTATTATTTTTAAAAACAATCTTATTTTACGTACCAATCCCAGTTGGTACTACCCCTCCTCACACTCCCCCACCTCCTCTCCACTCTGCTCTCCATCTATTCCTCAGAGAGAGCAAGGCCTCCCATAGGGTGACAACAAAGTCTGTCACATCACTTGAGGCAGGACCAAGGCCCTGCCCACTATATCTAGACTGAGCAAGGTATCTCTCCATAAGGAATGGGCTCCAGATAGTCAGTTAATGCATTAGGGATAAATACTAATTCCACTGCTAGTGGCCCCACAAACTACCCAAGCTGCACAACTGTCTGTCACCCACATTCAGAGGGCCACTTTTGGTCTTACACAGGTTCCCCAGCTATCAGGCCAGAGTCAGTGAACTCCCATCTACTCATCAGTTGTTTCTGTGTGTTTCCCCATCATGGTCTTGGCAAATTTGTTGGTAATATCACTCCTCCCTCTCTATGACTGGACTCTAGTTCAGTCCAGTGTTTTAGTGTGAGACACCGGTTTCGGGTATGAGGAGCTAGGACAGTGAAACACTATAAACAGAACTACTGAATCCCAACAAAACCTAGATACCATCAAACTCTTAGGGTTTCTCAAAATGAACATCATTTTCTTTATAGTAAGTATAAAAATTTTTAAAGGATCTTTTAAAAATTTTTTTTATGTATGTGACCATCTATGTGTGCCTGCTATGTATGTGTAAGTGCCTGCAGGGACCAGAAGAGGGCACTGGATTCCCTGGAGCTGCAGTTCCAGGCAGTGTGGGTGATGGGAAGGGAAAGGCTCTTAGCTGCTGAGCTAAGTCACTTGCCCAGCTTTTATTAATTCTGAGCTATCTATTAGCACATTTTTCCCCAACCCTTTACTCTGAGGCAATGTCTGTCTTTGAGGCTGAGGTTTCTTTTTTTTTTTTAACTATTGATTTTTATTGAGCTCTACATTTTTCTCTGCTCCCCTCCCTGTCTCTCCCCTCCCCTTCAACCCTCCCCCCCCAAATCCCCATGTTCCCAATTTATTCAGGAGATCTTGTCTTTTTATACTTCCCATGTAGATTAGATCCATGTATGTCTCTCTTAGAGTCCTTATTGTTGTCTAGGTTCTCTGGGATTGTAGTTTGTAGGTTGATTTTCTTTGCTTTATGTTTAAAGACCACCTATGAGTGAGTACATGTGATAATTGTCTTTCTGTGTCTGGGTTACCTCACTCAAAGTGATGTTTTCTAGCTCCATCCATTTGCCTGCAAAATTCAAGCTGTTATTTTTTTCTGCTATATAGTACTCCATTGTGTAAATGTACCACATTTTCCTTATCCATTCTTTAGTCTAGGGGCATTTAGGTTGTTTTCAGGTTCTGGCTATGACAAACAATGCTGCTATGAACATAATTGTCCTTGTGGCATAATTGAGCATCTTTTGAATATATACCCAAAAGTGGTATTGCTGGGTCTTGAGGAAGTTTGTTTCCTAATTTTCTGAGAAACTGCCACACTGACATCGAAAAAGGCTGCACCAGCTTGTCCTCCAACTAGCAATGCAGAAGTGTTCCCTTTACCCCACAACCTCTCCAGTATAAGTTGTCACGGTGTTTTTGATCTTGGCCATTCTTACAGGTGTAACGGAATCTCGGAGTTGTTTTGATTTTCATTTCTCCAATGACTAAGGATGTTGAACATTTCCTTAAGTGTCTTTCAGCCATTTTAGAGTCCTCTGTTGAGTTTTCTGTTTAGGTCTGTACTTGATTTTTTTTATTGGATTATTTGCTCGTTTGATGACCAATCTCTTGAGTTCTTTGCTATAAGAGGGTCTTCTGTCTATGTGTTACTTTCACTGGTTAAATAAAGAAGCTGCCTTGGCCTTTTGATAGGTCAGCCCTTAGATGGGTGGAGTAGACAGAACAGAATGCTGGGAGAAAGAAAGCAGAGTCAGGCAGAGGCCATGAAGCTCCAGCCTGAGATGGACGTAGGTTAGAATCTTCCTAGTAAGCCACAACCTCGTGGTGATACACAGATTACTAGATATGGGTTAATCAAGATGTGAGAGTTAGCCAGAAGAGGCTAGAACTAATGGGCCAGGCAGTGTTTAAATGAATACAGTTTCTGTGTTATTATTTCCTGGGCTAAGCTAGCTGTGCGGGAGCCGGGCAGGACAAAAAGCAGGCCTGCTTTCCTCACCACTACAGTTTGCACACTTTGGAGAACAGACCTCTGTCTGATATGGAATTGGTGAAGATCTTTTCCCATTCTGTAGGCTGCCGTTTTGTCTTGTTGACCGTGTCCTTTGCTTTACAGAAACTTTTCAGTTTCAGGAGGTCCCATTTATTAATAGTTTCCCTCAGGGCCTGTAGCACAATGTTCTTATCAGGGGGAAAAAAAAACAGCTTTGCTTTGCCATACATGCTTTCTATTTATTTATATACAATTAATATATAACATTTTACTAAATTATGTATATTTCAAAATACACAGAAGTAAAAGAGATACGGTAAGCTGTAAACAATTGTTTTTAACATTGTGACCTTTTTATATGTCTTTTTAATCAATGGCTTTTTTGTCATCATTAAGAAATATTTAAGTCAGGCATTGGTGAGTACATGCCTAGAATCTTAGCACTCAGGAAGCAGAAGTAGGGGGAATCTCTGTTGAGTTTGTGGCCAGCCTGGTCTTCAGAATGAGTTCCAGGACAGCCAGAGTTATGTGATGTGACCCTGTTTCAATTTAAAAAACAAAACAACTTAAGGTAAAGCTTTCTCTAAGACTAAGAGTAGTACAAAAGGAATGAGTCTGTATCAGGCCTTCCTTGAAGATCTTTAATTTCAGACAACTAAACTGATTAGATCTAACAAGTGGGTGTTCATTTTAGTTTCTATCAGTTTTCTACCACCCTGCCCTGTTCTTGTTTTAATATGCAATTTCTTTGTAAAAATGTTCTTGTAAAAGTGAGCTAAAAAGTAGATACTATAATCCAAACAAATGAAGTCACAGTAATCCTCCTGAAATCCATGGGGATTCTGGAAAATGGAATGATGAATAGGAGAGTCATGTATTCCCCTCCACACACACCCCAGTCAGTACAGTCGTCTATATTATAAAAGGCTCTTCTAGCAGACCAGAGCCCTTCATCAAGTATCAGAAACAAATGTCTTGTCACCTAAAATGAGCATCAATAAACTACAACAATTTCCACCCACAGACACTTCTTGTCATTCATGTACCTAGCCACACAAATGAACCTGGGGAAACACTGAATCAGCTCATCCCAGTTAGTTTCCATTGCAGGGCTCTTTTCCTTTCTTCAAGTCAGGGTAAATTTTACTAACTATCCCCCATAGACGTATTTATAGAAGTTCTACTAATTATCTCTCCTCAATACCCTTTACTTTTGTATTTAACTTGCCCATACTATAGCTCTTTCAGGTATATCACTTAAATGGTTAAGTAATATCTGGATCTACAGCGTCAAGGACTACTCATCGTAAGTAAACAGTAGGGTAAGCGACACAGCTGAGTAGACAATCTGAAATAAACGCAGGAATTTTAGAAACACGTGGAAGCCCACACTACTTTCCAGTTCAACTGTTTTCTGAGAAGTCAATACATTTACCTGTAGCTATCTAGTTGCTATGCAGCACATTTGAAAAGCATATCACAGAAAAGGAAAATTTTAACTTTTTAAGACACAGATACATACAAACTTGCAGGAAAATTACGAACAATGTTGGTGTACTTAAATCAAAGGACAATGAAATTAAACCAAGACAAATCAAGTTGCAAAGAAGCTGCCTATAAGCTGGGCAGTGGTAGGCACGCCTTTAATCCCAGCACTCGGGAGGCAGAGGCAGGCGGATCTCTGTGAGTTCGAGACCAGCCTGGTCTACAAGAGCTAGTTCCAGGACAGGCTCCAAAACCACAGAGAAACCCTGTCTCGAAAAACCAAAAAAAAAAAAAAAAAAAAAAAGCTGCCTGTACACCTGCCTTTTCATTTCTTTTTGTTTTCTGAAGAATGCTTTTACTCTGCAGCCCAGGATGGCTTCTAATGTGCACCCCTCCAGGTCTGTGCACTGTGGCCTGTTTTACAACTGTGATTCTGATGTCAGCTTCTCCTCCTGCTTAGCCATCAGTCCTTGCAGTCTGTAACCAACAGGACACTGACATTCTAGTACTGGAATGTCCTCTG